TTAACATTTTTCTCGATTTTTGTGTCCCAAACTTCTAAAATCCAAAACTTTTGCATACGGGCTCCGTTTTTGACGTTCTTTATATGCATGTGTAGGTAAAATTATGCTCTACAACTTTCGTTTAGACCCCGTCAGCTAATTTTGATATTAATTTTAATATTATTATTTTTAACAGACCGGGACAAGTAAACCCGTTAAAAATTCATAACTTCTTTATCCGACGTCCGTTTTCGTCTGTCTTTTTACCGTTGTACTACTATTGACGAGACCTTCGATTCTCGTTTAGGTTGTGTCAGCTAAAAATCACTCGATCTAAAATTCGAGTTTTTAGCTGTCTACTGCTAAGCTGAAACTTAGAAAAATCATAACTTCCTCATATGAAGTCAGATTTGGGCGTTCTTTTTATGCATACTCTCGGTTTAATGAAGACTACGACTTTCATTTAGATCACCAAGGCTAAATAGTAGTTTATCAAAAAATCACTTTTTACGTCATTCGGCGCCGTGCCGGTTTTGTCGCGAAACTTCGACATGTCATAACTTCTTCGTTATAACTCGGATTTCGGTATTCTTTATATATCTGGAATCCTTGACGCGACCACTACAACTTCCTTCATAGATATTGGGTTTATCTAATATTTATTTTCGACGCTTATTTTTATTCTTAATTAATTAAATCCTAGTAATTAAACATAAAACACATAATTCACATAATAATAACATAATTCCTCTTCATTTCTTCAAAATGAATTACAAAGGTTGACTTAGACTATTACATCATCATTAATGCCTATCTTAGAAACACGGACGTTACACTAGAGTCCTCGGGGGCTCCGTTGTAACAATTGGGAAAAATTGGTCAGAGTTCAGCGGTCAAACCACCATGAAACATTGTTTATTAAAGAACAATTGTGTGTAATTTTATGGTTATAAAGTATATTAAATATATTATATTCATAATTACTTTTAGAACATGCCAAACTGTTTAAAACATCTATCGTTGAAGATCGAATCGAAAATCACCAAAAATAAAATTTATTTATCACATTAAAAATAAATTTTTGCATTAAGTATATATAAGAGTTATGGATAATAAATTTGAATAGATTATGTTCTCCTGATTTCATGGATATAAAGAACGTCCAAAACGGAGATTGTATGAGAAAGTTACGCATCTTTAAAGTTATAAAAATTAGTATTTATCTGATTTTCCTAAAACGGACCGTACACTACTTCGTTTGAATTAGCTACGAGCCTCATAAATTATTTCTGAGCACGTTTTTGAACTCATAATATGATATATTATTTTATTTCATTTTTATCAGATTTTTAATCTTGACCAGAATTAGATTCGTAAAATCTGTCGCATTCAGGCCCAATGAATCACAAAAATTTAAACGCTAATTCACGGAGTTTCGTATATTAGAATTGAAATCATTCTGCATTTCTGGAATCACCACGACTGGGACATTATGCAGGCACTTTCCGAAATTTTTTATGAATCGGTACGAAGGCACGAGAATCGAGAATCAAAAAAATACATTGCACTTGATTATTACCAAAAATATTATTAAAAAGTCAACAAAGACATTAAATGAGGCTGAAATGCTTCAATTGGAAGGTACTTCACCTTCCTTGTCCCTTACTACCCTTTTCCCTCTAACATTTCTCTCTCTCTCTCTCTCTCTCTCTCTCTCTCTCTCTTCTTAGTATCACCAGAAAAACGAAACCAGAGAGGGGAGGTTGTTGCCTTCGTTCCAAAGTCAATCACAAGCCCACTCCGCCTCCCACAGATCATGTAGCACCACCACCCCACCATAGATTTCTCGCTGCTACTTGTCCCTTCATGTTTGATACCGACGACAAAAAAAACAATTGAAAGAAGCCACCGGAGGTGGAGTTGTGATTCCGACCACCGTGAAGACTACAACCCCCCTCCTCCTATTCTTTTCGTCGACTGAACCACCCACATACATCCCCCTTAATCCGTTGTTGCTTCCGATCAGGTCCCTTTTCTTGATCAGACAAAGGCAGAGGATTGAAGTCCTTTCTTCTTCGTGTGTTGCTGACCGATCAGTCAAAGGCAGAGGACGGAAGTCGTTCTACCGGCGCCTCTCGCTTGTGATTTCCCAACCACCGGTACTCCCAATCGACTGCAACTACTTCACCTTCCTCGACCCGTGGCTGTCGGCGACGAACTCAAGAAGGCCAAAGAGAAATCGTCGATCTCGACCGACTCCTTCTCCCTCCCCTTGCGACTGACTCGACCGACCGGTTCAATCCGGTTTTAAAACATTGGTTCATTCAGCACCGGTTTAACCGTCGGTCCAACCGATTCAACTATTAGTCTACATTCGACAATGATGTGCGTCGGCCTTCGAGTTGTGTACACTCCAGAAAACCTGAACGATCGAGCTAATTCAATTTTCTTTAGAAGAGACTATTTTTTTTAATGACTTAAGTGAAATTCGACTATTTAAGTCTAATAAACCTGTTCAAACAGTTTTTTATTGATTCTATCACACCAGTTTAACTCGATTTTGAAGAAACCGCCCGGTTCAAACCGGTCTATAATTTAGCATAAAACCGGACGGACGTTGTTGAACCACTCTCACTTCTGGTTCGTAGTACGACGAGTTCAACCGACGGGTTGAAACCGAATTTTAGATCACTGCCTAAAAGTTAGAAATTAAAAGAAACAAATTGATGAGATGTTAAATTTAGTATAGTATAATACTAGTTGTGAGATCCATGTATTACATGAGTTTATCAAAAAAATAAAAAAAAAAAACAAATATGAAGATCTAACAATATAGAAAATTTTAATTTATAAGAAAAAAAGAAAAAAATTTAATTATTAAAATTGAAATGCTTATTTATTTTTCAGTTTAAACTAATAATTTAAATAAATAAAAACTAAAATAATTAAATTCAATTTAAAAATTTAGAAATTATAAGGAAAATTCTATTAATAAATTGGATGTACATTTATTATTACATTTATTACATTTTAGTATTATATGAAATCTAATAAAATAAAAAAAAACACAAAATGATACATAAATATAATTTAATTTAAATTACCACAAAATGAAATGCGACATAATATATAAAATGATGACAAAAGACAAAATTATTTTTATTTATTAGGTATGATTTGTTTAAATTTCTAGGGAATATGATTTATTAAGGTAATTAACTTTTCGGTATGTTCACATCTGGGTAACTATCTTTTTTTTGTACACATGTAGGTAACAAACTTGTTGGAAGTGTTCACATATGACCATCATGACCTGCTATAGCAGGTTAAATCGTAGATGTGAACGCTTTCAAAAAGTTCGTTACCTAGATGTGTACAAAAAAATAGTTACCGAACAAAACAAAAAGTAAAAATTAATTTACACGAATGGTCCCTGTGGTTTGGGGGAATTTGTGTTTTTGGTCCCTAACTTATTTTATTTAACTTGGATGGTCCCTACTGTTTATTTTTGTTGCGCGTTTGGTCCCGTCTTTCCTAAAAAGACTATTGTATCATTATTAATTTATTTTTTAATTAATTTTCTTATTTATGTATTTATTTTTTACATATTTAAAAAAATTAATAGACCCCACATATTTGTATCTCTCCTCGGATGATCCTTACTGTTTATTTTTTAATTAATTTATTTTTTAACTCGGATGGTCCCTACTATTTATTTTTGTTACGCGTTTGGTCCCTTTCTTACCTAAAAAGACTATTTTGCCCTTATTAATTTATTTTTTAATTAATTTTCTTATTTATGTATTTATTTTTTATATATTTAAAAAAATTAATATACCCCACATATCTGTATCTCCTCACCGTAAACCTGAAACCACATTTGAGAAATTTAATTTGGGTCTTACCGGTCACCATCTCATCTCTCATCCTCCCCAACTTCTATTTCTTTTCCATATTTAGTAACATCGACGTTTTCATCATCCTTCTTTTTTTGGTACTTCAACTCTGGCGAACCAACACCATAACCTACTGTCTCTTCATCTTTAGTGGGTTGTGGTGTTGATTCGACGGAGTTGAAGGACCGAAAAAAAAAAGGATGATGAATACGTCGATATCACTAAAGATGGAAAATAAATAGAAGTTGAGAAGGATGAGAGATGGGATAGTGAGGAGATACAGATATTTGGGGTCTACTAAATTTTCTTAAATATATAAAGCGTAAGTACATAAACAAGAAAACTAGTTAAAAAATAAATTAATAAGGGCACAATAATCTTTTTAGGTAAGACAGAGACCAAACTCGTAACAAAATTAAACAGTATGGACCATCCGAGTTAAAAAAAATAAATTAATTAAAAAATAAACAGTAGGGATCATCCGAGGAAAATTAATTTTTTTAAATATGTAAAAAATAAATACATAAATAAGAAAATTAATTAAAAAATAAATTAATAAGGGTACAATAGTCTTTTTAGGAAAGACAGTGACCAAACGCACAACAAAAATAAACAGTAGGGACCATCCAAGTTAAATAAATAAGTTAGGGACGAAAAAGTTTGTTACCTAGATATGTACAAAAAAAGATAGTTACCCAAATATAAAAATACCGAAAAGTTAATTACCTTAATAAGTCATATTCCCAATGATTTAATATGAAAGCTTCAGGTCCAATTTCATCGTCACGTGTTTAATTGTCGTCTATATTATTACTTTTGGTAATAAACAATAATCTAGCAATAAGTTACATATATAAGAAAAAGCTCTATGTATCACCTTTTGTTACCTTTATTCATTTGTAAGTCTGGCTTATTTTAAAAGGGGCAATTTGAAACTTTTATGCGAATGAAAACGCATGTCAACAAAAGTTTTGAAACGGAAAACGTATACATATATGGTCCGAAAAGTTATCGTACCATTTGTAATTAGTGGGAAGCTTCCTTCCCACGGCGTTGACCTCGTCGTCTTCCGCCTCTGATTTACTGTGAACTCCATGGACGCTGACTATAAATACCCTCTCAGAACTTTCACTCTTCACACATCTTCTCTATATCCTCTTACTTTCTGATTTACTAGATCCAAAACAGATACACTCGCAGACAAATCATCATCTAATTCACAGAAATGGCAAAGGTACATGCCTGATTGCTCGTTCAATTCGATTCCATTTTGAATATTTTTCGAATAGTGGATCTCAATTTGTGTAATTGATTGGTTCTGCAGCAAAAAATTGTGGTCAAGGTCACAATGAACACCAAAAAGAAAGCTAGTAAGGCTCTTCAAATCGCCGTTAGTCTCTCCGGTAAGATATATTTTGGTGAAAGTCACAATGAACACCAAAAACAATTTCTTTCACAATCTCAAGTTCATATATATGACTATCCCAAACTAAATGTTAACGTCAATTGAAATTGATTGAATTACTTGACTAAATCATGATCTGAAAATGAATGATGAACAGGTGTGGAATCAGCTTCTTTCCTAGGTTCAGATAAAGACCAGATAGCGGTGACCGGAGAAGGAATTGACTCAGTTGAACTGACGACCTTGCTAAGGAAAGGTGTCGGATACACAGAACTAGTGAGTGTTGGTCCGGTGGAGGAGAAGAAACCAGATGCGGCAAAGGAAACAAATCCCACGGTGGCCTCACTAAATTTTAATCCGTACCAATACTACTACGGCATGTATGGGATGCCTTACTATGAATATGCATATGAGATTTGAGATATTATTAAATGAAACAGAGTGAAAAGAAATTAGCTTAAATTTTTATTAGGGAATTTTGCATTGTATAAAATAAGATCCCCTTGATATACATATTGTGTTTGTAATATATGAGAAAACCAATTTTGCGGCTACGTTATATGAATTAGTTTATTAAGCATCTTATCCTCCCTAATAAATTAAGAATTTTTTGTCACATGTCAAACTCTCATTGATATGGTTTGGCACATGTCATTTTGTGGTTATTTTCAATTAATTTTTTTCCACGTGGCATTTTGTAGTTTTTTTTATTTTATTAATTTCCACATAATATTAAATGTAATAATTACAATAAATGTAATAATAAATGCATATCAATTTCATTAATTGATTTTCTTTTAATTTAAAATTTTCTAAATTAAAGTTTCATTAGTTTTCTTTGTTTATTTGTCTAAATTATTTGTTTAATTTAAAAGAAAATCAAACAATTTAATTTTAATAATTCAATATTTTTCTATTTTTTTTCTCATAAATTCAAACTTCTCAAATGTTTAAAATTTAATATTTTTTTCTTTAAAATAAACTCATGTAATACATGAGTCTTACACCTAATTTCAAATAAAAAAAAAGTGTTATCGATTATTTTCATATGTCGTTTTTGAACGATAATTCATTATCACAAATGATATATTTTTTACAACTAGTAATTGGATCATTAGGTTATAACCCGTTAATATATATATATATATATATATATATATATATATATATATATATATATATATATATATATATATATATATATATATATATATATATATATATATATAGTAGTTGTGACACACATTTACTACATGAGTTAATTAAAAAAAAGTTAAATATAAATATCAAAATATTATTTTGAGAACTTTAAATTTATAAAAAATAAGAAAAATAATGAATTATTATAATTGAAATGTTTTTATCCTTTAAATTTAAACAAATAATTTAAATAAATAAAAGAAATTCATAAACTTTAATTTTGAGAATTTTGAAATTAAAAGGTAAATTCATTAATGAAATTGATATCCATTTATTAATATATATTTATTGCAATTATTATATTAAAGTATTATGTGCAATTTAATAAAATAGAAGAATTCATAAAATGACATGTGGAAAAAAAATTAAATCAAAATAACCATAAAATTACATTTGGTAATTTAAATGAGAATGTGACAAATGGCAAGAAAAACTTTTATTGATTAGAGAGGATATATATATATATATATATATATATATATATATATATATATATATATATATATATATATATAAAAGTATCAAATGTCAACAAAACCAAAAAAATGCAATGGATTTTGGCTTGTAATCCTAAATTAATGTGATAATAAGTAAAATAAACATAATATTTTAATATAGATTTTGAAGAATTTCTTGGTATATAACATTGAAGTTTTATTTATCCAATTACAATTTTTATTTAAAATCAATAATTTCAATCTTTCTCTGCACTATTTTGAAAACTAGTTCTTACAAATTTATCTATTTTGAATTTGAATTTGAATTTTATTGTTTGAATGTGTTAAAAGGCAAACATTATATATTTTAAAATAAAGTTAATTGTTAAAACTTTACTAGTAAGATTTCTATGTTATGTTTAAACTAGAGGTGTGCACCAAATCGCATAAACCGCTCGCACCACATCAAACCGCACCGCATAGCGTGGTTTATAACTTCCGCGATGCGGTTGCGGTTTCTAATTTTCTAAACCGCACATTATGGTGTAGTTTGCGGTTTTTAGCTATAAAACCACGGTTCAAACCGCACCGCACCGCACCATGTGTGTGTGTGTGTGTGTGTGTGTATATATATATATATATATATATATATATATATATATATATATATATAATCATTCTACATAAATAAAATGAGAAAAAAGTTTGTTGATTTAGTTTTATAAATAGAATTAGCATTGGGTGATTCTTGGTAGCAATTACAATTAAAGTTATTAAGAATTCTTAGTGAAAATGACATAATTATATAAGTTACTGTTATGTCGACCATGGAATAAGAAATACAGTTGCATTATATATGAAATTAATTTCGTTTACTTTTTATGGGTTCTTTTTATCCGTTTCATATCACAGTAGGACCGAATCAACCTAAATTTTTGGTTTTTTAAAAAGCTAATACTAAAATCAACGAAATGTTTTGGTTTGTGAAAGTTATTAATTAAACAACTTATCGAACCGCACTCAAGCCGCATAAACCGCACCGCTTAACGCGGTTCCAATCGTTCATGGTGCGGTTTCAAAAAAACTCAAACCGCATATGCGGTGTGGTTTGCGGTTTTGATTCAAAACCGCACCTAACCGTACCGCAAACAACCCTATTTTAAACAAAGACGAAATACATAATTTAAAAGAGTATAATAAATATTATTTTGAGGATATCACATGTATCGAAATTAGACTTCCAAACAGACAAACTATTCCATGTGTAATTACGATTTTTAAATTACTAACTTATTCTATTAAGTAATACCTTAAAGTATATTAAAGTATTCTACGTTTAATGAAAATTTGGATAGATATCACAAATCGCAAGTTACTTATCCGGAAAATTAATATATTAATTTTTTGTGTAATAAAACTTTTACAATTTCAGTACATATGCATAAAACAAATCCATATATTGAACACAAGAACCCTTATATTAAATTTTTGATTATTTAATTTTGTTGTCCGTAAATATTAAAGACAATCATTATAACATAGATTACGATTTTCGAATTAGGATAAGACCTTTGTTTTAATGTTTGAATTACAATTGATATTGTTACCAAAATAAGTGTATTCCAATGAATAATGATATAAGAAGATGCATTAGAAGTATGCAATGTGGCAAATAATGATGCTAGACAATGGACAAGTGGCATATTAAGGTTTCATTTAATAGAATAGGTAGATATGAATAGATTTAAGCGAGAGGGAGAGGGAGTGAATATGAACAGATTTAAATGAGAGAGAGAGGGAGTGAGACTCGTAAAAGTGACATGGCATCTGATGTTGGCAAAAAACAATTTTATGTGGGCATGGAAGTTAACAGAGATGTGTCATTTATCTCTCCTTGGAATGCAAGTGTTATTTAAGTTGGAGGGAGTCATGTCAAAGTTGTCAGAGTCCAAGTAGACGCCACCTAGGATTTGCTACTGATAGTGTCATATTTATACACATTTCTACACAGTATTTTAATACATTTTAAGCTATAATTTGGTTAACTGCAAATATATATTTGGTACTTTTAATGTTTAAATTGTATTTTACAGCCAAAAGTGGACATTTTCAAAGAAAATGATCGAAACCGACAAAAGCTGGATACTTGTAGGATTGGAGTTGAAAAACATACAAAAAGGATGTTGTTGGATAACTTGACCCCTCGTCAATATTTTGACCATATCTCATGACTCGTAACTCCGATTAAAAAGATTCTAAATGATCTGAAAACTAGACAAAATTTCAGATAACTTTCGTTTTTGTGCCAAATGCTAATTCCTAGTTCTCATGATATGAGGAGTATAATCTCACAACGTGAGATTGATTCTTCTAGAAGATAGCTACGCGGAATGCAGTTTCCTTGTCGAACACGAATTCTGACGAGATCACAATATGAGAACTTAATTCTCACGACATGAGACATAATTTTTGGAAACTATATATATCCCTTTGCTCATTCGACTTAGGGGGTTGGCTTACACATATTCTGGAGAGATAACCAAGTTTGGAGGTCAGAGAAGTGCGAAAAACATCCTTTAGAAGGAGATATTATTTGAAGATCGAGAATTTGAAGATTAAAACACTACATTCGGTTTGCATTAATTTAATCATGTCAATTTCTTTTGAATTTGTGTGTTTGATTTCAGTTATGAGTAGCTAAATTAGTCTACTTTCGTTTAGCTAGATGAAACCTGGAATCTGTGGTTTAGTTTACTATTTATTGGATTTTATAAAGTTGGATTTATGCTTGTGTTTTTTTTATCATTACCTAGCATGTTAAAGTTTGTGACTTTGTTGCTTAAATTCAAGTTTAGAGTAGCTTAGTGGCCATTAAATTACGTGAACTTGTTTACCTAGTAATTTAGTGACTATTAAATTTCTAGAGCTAGGAGTGACCACATCTAGATCAAGTAATAAAAGTAACAAACTTAGATGTGAGGGAGAACATAATTGTGACCATAATTGTGTTTGCTTAATTGCCTTAGATAAATCTTACATAGCTTAATTACAATTAATAACTAGTTCTGTGTTTGCTTGTGTATGACCATACATATTACTACATGAATTGGTGAAAATATTAGTTTATTAGATCAAAATAACTAATTACATAACAATTGGTAACCAAATTTATGATGGGTTTTGAGCAAAACTACAACCTATGCATTCATGCAACCCTAATTGCTTTGGATCTAAGTTTTATACTAGTTAAACATGCAAATTGAATACCAAAGCAAAACCCTAGATCTAGCATATATAAATCAAAATCTACATATAATTAGGGTTTAGAAGTTTACCTTACTTGTTATGTAGCAATAACAAGAAACCTTGTAGATCCTTGACTCTTGATAGCTTAGTGCCTCAAATGTGTCACCTCTAATGGATTACAAACACTCTTTACAAGAGGATCAGAGGAGAGAGGAGGGGATACTTAGAAAAATCGGTTCCACTGGGGTTTTCAGGCATAGGGCCAAAAACTCTAAGGGGTTACATCCCTTTTCTACATGAGGTGGCTTAGTCCCAAAGCTAGGGTTTGCAGGTGGAAACCCTAATTCCATGTTTAAGGCCTAAGTAGCCCATGAACTCCTCTTTGGAAGGCCTTGGATGAAAATCTTATAGGCCCACCGTATAACTTTCCTCCATTCCTATCCAAGGAATCCAAGAGCCCAGTTTCATAACTATCAATGATTTGCAAAACAACCCCTGTACTTTTAATTAATTCCTTTAATCCCAAAATTAATTCCAAATTAATTTGATTAAATATTAATTAAACAACATAATTTCCATTTAATATATTATTTTCATAACATATTAACAAATCATTTATATGGATTTATTATTCCAAACAATAAATTTAACTTCTCTCCAAAAGTCATCCTG